CGCCGCTCTCCTTTGCCAGGACCCCCGGTGGAGGCCGGCGGAGCGGCACTGCCGGCTTCAAGTCACTGGTGAGTCCCCGCCCGGGCGGGTGAAGTTGTTCGTTGCCCGAGTAACTGTTGGCTTCACGGTTCAGCACTGAACTTGCTTGGGAGCGTCTCTTAAAAGCCAAATTGTGATTTTTATTTTTTATTTTCACTTCACGCTGTAAATCTACAAGATGCTGTAGCATATGATACAGAGCAGGCTGACCTTACATAAACTGATAAATATTTTACCAGAGTCTGCCCCCTTCCCCAGCCAGGACATATTTTCGTTTCTTTTTTCTCCATTGTATGCAGTAGCACACAGGGTATTTTCTGATCAGTGCCCTCCAGCACTGTAGCATCCTATCGAGGGCGCAGTGAGTGCTAAATGTCTTCCGTGCTTTACAGATCCCATCTCCAAGGTCCTGCCAGCCTAATGGAGCCAATGAAGAAGCCCTGCGGTGTGAAATTGAAGAGCTGAAACAGAAAGACCTCGCTTTAGACCAGGAAATTGCACAATTATTGTCCGAGTAAGTCCTTGGCAAGCTCAGTGTGTGTTGCGATGCCTTAGTTTTGTTTTTATAACAAAATGTGGTCCAAGAATTAGAGCTAAAGCTGACCTTTCATGATGTCCTTTTTGTCGTGATGCTATACAGTGTTGATTGTGGTGGTGTTTTGAGTTATGGGACCAGTTAAAGACAAGAGGGAATTCTTTTGGGTTGGTTTGGTAAAGCAAGACAAGTTTTGCTAGGGGCTTGGATGAGAGGATTTTTACTTTACCCCAGGTGTTGCTGAGGTAATTACATGTAAACTGGGATTGAATAATTCTAACCATCATGATGGTTTATCTTAAATTTGAGAAGAAACTTCTTCTCAGTGAGGGTGACAGAGCCCTGGCCCAGGCTGCCCAGAGAGGTTGTGGAGTCTCCTTCTCTGCAGACATTCAAAACCCGCCTGGACGCCTTCCTGTGTAACCTCATCTGGGTGTTCCTGCTCCAGCAGGGGGATTGGACTGGATGAGCTTTTGAGGTCCCTTCCAATCCCTAACGTTCTGTGATTCTGTGATGATACTACAGCACATCATGCTGTCAGAAAAACTTGTTCTTGTGAGAATTAAAATTGAGATCGTAACTTGTACAACCTGCCAAATTTAGTCCCAGATAAAACTGTTTCCTTCTTTTTTCCATCTTGATCAAGTGTTCACTTGCTTTGCATCCAAGGTGAGTGGGTTAAACCTTTGTGCTCAAGAAGCAGAGATGCTTTCCAGGCAAGCAAGCGTCCTGTAGAACGCTGTGGTGTGACAGGTGCCACATACAGTGGTGCAACTGTTTTATTGTGGTTTCTTGTGACATGCTGTGGCAGCTGCTTATTAGCAACTGTTCTGAGATAAAATCACTGGTGGATTTTTAAAGAGGGAATCTCTGTACGTTATTCATTGCGAAGGAGTGATACTTTCTAAGATAATGTGTAGTGCATAGAATGGGAATGGTAGAACAGCAAAGGATGTTCCAAAAGCTTTTCTGTTTTATTCTTAAGGGTAAATAGACCTTCTTAATTTAGCTTACCTTCTTAATCTAGCTACAGATTAGAGATACATATAAATTGATTTCACTATGGTCTATTCCTGTTTCTACTTGTTTCTAAGAATTTGGGTGGATTGGTTTTGGTTTTGTTTTTTTTAACAAGTCTTGATGTGGGGAAAAAAAAACCAACCCCAAAAACCCAAACAAACAAAAAACCCTCAAAATGAGGATCTGCTTGTCTGTAGTTTTCATGCTTATGGCTTGCAGCTGTTGTACTTGCTGCCTTCAGGGTGCGCTTTTGACGTACCAGGTTTGGGTATCACAAATATCCTTGCTGTGCTTGGTTGGTAGTGGCAGCACTTGCTGTGCAGCAGCAACCCACTGTGTCATTTTTTTTTTACCTTTCTGGTTTTACTGTTACAGAGGCTACAGCCTGGAGGAACTGGAGAAGCACATCTCTCTGCTCCATGAGTACAATGATATTAAAGATGCCGGGCAGATGCTGCTGGGCAAGCTGGGTAAGGAAGGGGAAAGCTGTTGAAGAACTTTTTAAAGTCCATGTTTTCATATAAACTTCATAAGTCTTATTAATATTTGTCAGGTTTTTTTCTTCATATGCTAAAAAAAAAACGCAAGCGAGGAGCATAGCTGCAAAACCTTATAGTGGTTTCTTAGCTATGGGAGGTTCTGTGGGATCATTAGGGGCCACTGGGAGGAAAACACAGCTTTTCTGGCTGATCTGGTCTTTGTTTCATGAAAGCAATGGTATTTCTTCCTTTTCTAGCTGTTATCCGAGGAGTTACTACAAAGCAGCTCTACCCTGAATATGATCTGGAGCTTAGCGACTAGCGTTGAACCTGAGGACTGCCACATCCTGCCAAAATGACTGTTACTGGGCCGTTGTTTTGGTGTCATCTCGGTTTAGAAGTGACGTAAGGTGACCTCGGAAGTGTGTGTGTAGAATTGCAACAGAGTATGGGTTAACAGCCTTATTTCTAAGAAACTCTGAAACATGAAAGTTGAGTCTATCAACTGTTTCCTGCTTGTAGGAAAGATGTAAGATTCTGGGTAATTTTGACTGCTATCTGGTCAACAGTATTTTTGGTTTTTTATTGGAAAGGTTGTAATTCAGGTTGGTGTTAAGACCCTTCCCGGGGAGTCCTTGCTTCTTTTACAACATCCAGGGGCTGTTGGATACTGAATGGGTAGAGGAAGTGAGGGCATATAAATGTGCAATGTAACAGCTGCTTTGAAAGAAAAGAAAGAACCCTCAGAAGTAGGGAGGGGAGGCTGAAGTTGTTGCTGTTTGGGGGTTTTGTTTTGTTTTCTTCTATGATCAAATCTGGATTAGTCTGGGTGTTCTGTGTTTCTGTACTGAAGTGCTCTGGTATCTAGAGGTTTTGTATCATTTCTGTAGTAAATGGCAAAATGAGAAGTTGTGTTGAACTCTCCAGTCGCAATAAAGCAGCTATCACATTTCTCAGTAATTCATTTTAGGATTGTATAAAACATTGCATGGACCTGGGAACAAATTCTTAAACGGTGTTCTGAGACAACTGTAACATCTATTATTCGAATGTCTTCTGAGGACTCTTCAGGGAGCCAGTGTGGCAGCCCTACCCAACACTGGGTAGGTGCAGAATTACCTTCACTCTCTTCTGAATGCAGTCACTGTGAAAATGAGCGGTGTCCTAAACACACAATTATGTTGAAGTGTGAGTGTTCCAATGTCAGGTGTTAGGACTGAGGGTGACTGCGCAGACTAAATTTGGCTGCTTTGGGCAGTGCTAAGTGATAAACTGCTCTGCTGACTGCAGATCCATTGTCCCTTTTTCACTCAAGCTTGATGTCCCGCTCATTCTTTGACCTTGCCAGTAAGTTTCCCCCCTGGTCTCCAGTCAGGCCCATGCTGCAAATCTGCTCATTATTTCCAAATCTGAATCAAACGAATCTCTCTTTGTAGTGCTTGAAAACCAGAAAACGGTCACAAGGCTGCTGCTGAGAACAGGTAATTGTTCCCAATTGTCCCAAGAAGGCTAGAACTAGGAAATGCTACCTTTGTTCTCAAAACCCACGTTTCTGTTCTGGCTGGTGTTTTCTGTGTGGAGAAACTGGGCTGGTAGTGACACACGTAACTGGAAACAGTGTTTGCAATGGGAAGTATGAACAGAAATTCCCTCAGTTTGTGTTAGGTGTAACTGGGGGGGGTGAAGTATACTCCATTACCAAAGTTCCTGAAGGTTATTTAAGGACTGAGAAGTCCACGTTTTCTTCCCCTCCTTGTAGAAGCATTAATTAGGATTAAAACTTGCAGCTGTAGCTGTGCGAGTGTTCTGCCCAGCTCCAGACCTAACACTTCCATGGTGATGGGTTTACACCTCAGGTAGCACAAGGCAGTTGTCCAGAAAGGTGCCCTGACCCCAGTCTCGTGTCTGCAGAGGATGAAGGCAGGGAAAGAACCTGCTGAGGTAAGAGCAGACTGCCCTTGGGGAGTCCCTGCAGCTCTGCTGCTGGCACGGTAACACGGTAACGTGCCGCATGGTGGCAGCTCCGCTCCGCTGCTGTTCTGGCCACTGTGCAGAGCAGGGAAACCCACAGCAACTGAAATATCCCAGGGTCCAAGTTAACGACTGCTGGGGTGCTCCAGGCTGGACTCTGCCACTTAGGCACTTCATGATTCCCCCTCACTGCTCCTCCCAGATACTTCTTGTTCTTTAATGGCTATCTGGAGGATAAAACATGCTGGCCTTTGTCCAACTCCAGAAAAGGAACAGAACAGATCTCCTCTGCTTTCTATGAGTAAATCTCCAAACTTGCTAGCTAACCGTGTAGCTGGAAAAATATTGAGTGCCATAATGGTAAGTGTAACTTCAGATTTTTTAATTTCAATTTAGGAAGTGTATTTCTCTCAAGTCAGACCCAGCTGTAATGGGATAACAGAGAACAACTGGCGTTGCAGAGCTTAGAGCTTCACTGAAGGGCAGTACATGCTGCCTGCATGGAGCTGCTGCGCTGCAGGATACCACAGACCCCTGAACACCCTTGGTTCCTCTTTTTTACTGAGTCGGTGTATTCACGGATGAGTACTGAGCCAAGAACCAGTCTCTACCCTTTTAGGTCACTTTCAGTTTTATTTCTTGTGTATCTTACGCATCAATCCCTGTTACAAGCCACTTTCCTCATCTCACTTGCCTGCTTGATAACCATTTCCTCGCACTGCTTTGCGCGAGCTGTGTTTTCTCCTGCACATCACTCTTTTAGTCTGAATTTGAGCTCTTGTGTGTCTGAAAGCAGGGAAAATGGGAAGAAATTACTCTAGGACAACAGAGGGGAAAATAAATTCCATATAGCAGATAAGTTATGGTGCCCGTTGCAAGGAACAAACAAATCTGTGCAACCAAGGGAATACAGCTCTCTAAGACGCTATTTCCTGCTGCGAAACAATTTAGGGATGGGTTTTTATATCCCTTAGCAACCTAATGTTCCCGAAGTCAACAGGAATTTTGGCACAGCTAACTCCCATTAATGAACTGTTTGCGCTGCTTTAAAAAAAACTATACAGCCTGTCACTGAAAAAAATGCCTCTCTGATTAAAGTAATCTCAAGGAAAGGGTGGAAGTGAACTGCAATTAACCTCTTTCCTTCTGCTGTCCATCACGCTGTCAGCGCGTAGCTGCGTTATTGTGCCACAGAGATGGCTCGTGGATGTTCCCTCTGTAGCATGCACTCAGTTGTCTGCAGCGTGGGTCGTCTCCGCATCCATATTATGAAGAAGACTTTTATCCTGATGCCCCAGTGTTTTCTCTAATTCTGTTTTCACTTTGAGCTGACAGTCCCGAATTGCTTTTTTTATACTCTGCAGGTCCCACTGGGTTCGCAGGAGAGCATCATCCAGTGTGAAAACACCATCGCGTATTCTTCGTACTTGGGTGCACACGGCGGACGATTTCAGCTCCAGACCAATCTCATGAACTATTTTTCGGAGGTACTGCTGAGTCTCATGCAAGCAATGGATCTCTAAAAGGACAGAGAGATTCCTTTAGAAGCAGCGAAGCGTTGACACAAACTCAGACCTTGTCTGGAAATCTGGACGCCACTCACAGTTACGCTGAGAGAACTGGTTTGGTAGAAGAGACTAAGATACAGACCGGGTGGTTTATGGTTTTCTGGAATACTGCAGAATGTGTGTTTTAGAAAACAAACTCATAGGCGAGTAATATAGAAATTTAGGTATTTCAAAGTGGGTAAGAAAAGGTACCTTTTTAATAAGACAAGTAATTTGTGAGGAGAGTGGCTGCAGGAAAGCCAGGTTCCAGACCTTGCCCTACCAAAATACCTTTCCACCACACTGAAGAGTTTGTCTAACAAGGAGATGCTTTTGTAACTCTGGAACCTGGAAAATGTTGTATTTTCTGCAGAGACTACCAATTATGTGTCAATACAAAGTTCCCACCAACTCATTTTGCATTAAAGAAATAAGAAAGTTTATCAACTTATTTGCTGTAATGTATACTCAGACCTCCCCAGTGGTTTTTGTACCAGTCCTACCTAGCTGGAATTCTGGAAGTGTGAACTGGAGGCATCGGATTGCTGTGATTATCGGGGGGCTTTTTCCCATGGGGCGAATCAACCCTTTGACAGCCAGATCGTACGCCTCTTGTGTTTTCATGTCAATGTTGGAATACCTGGGAAAAAAACAAAAATACAAAAACAAGGGAGCAGACACTTAGTGCTTAGTGCTCTTCAGTGGGATTCAAAATATCTCCACCCTCAATAAAGCAAAGCTGCAATGTTTATTCTTAAAACTGCTTAAGTGCCGAGTCTTTGCACACATTTTAGCGTGTGTTTTAATACCTGTGCTGTCAGTAGTGTAGCAGTTTGGGAGGGAGTAGTTGGTCATGTTTACAAGATACTTTTGTAGGCCCTAATGTAGCTAATTTGTCCTAAAATAGCCAGAGATTTTAGGGATACAAGAAGGACACTGAACTGCAACCTCTCACCAGAGTACAGAGCACTCCGAGTAACTTCTCTCTGTTCCTGTCTAGCACTCCAGCCTTTAAAGACTTTGATTATGGCAAACAAAATAATCTCCTTTGCTTTAAAGACCAGCAAGCAGCAGTCGGTTCAGGTCAGCTGCATTTCCCCACTGGATACGTACATCAGCAGAGCCTTATGATTTGTTCCTTGAATGACAGCGAGAATCCGCTCCAGCTTCTCCCTTGTGATATGATCTGCAAATATTAAAGTAGAAGCGTGATCTCAAGTATCCATCCAGAAACCGGAGACAGCAGTTTGAAATGTGCCATTGGGGTATTACTGTCCCTTTGGCAGGTAGTCACGTTGAAATGGGCTGATGAGAACCGACAAGAGACAGCTTTAGCAGAGCAGAGTCACTTCTTGCTGTACCATGGCAATGCACAGAGCAGCACAGCACCGGATTACAAAGGGCAGAATAATTTTGTTTAATTGATTTTGGTATGTCTGCTCCAGTTTCTCTTATCGAGTGTTTGAAGAGTTTCATTTAATGTAAGCTGCTAATCACAGAGAGATCTGGGTCCCACCCAATCCAGCAGCAACCACTGTGATCAGGACTCACACTGGCTTTCTACTTATTGTGGTTATATTTAGCACAGGACTGCAATGCCAGGACTGGGTGTGGGCCGCCTGTACAAATAAAAACTAGAAAGCATTTCAGGCCTACCTTCTACCTCTGTGCCATTCACCAGGCTAAATGCTTGCCGTTACAATGCTATTTGTTTGGTCCAAAGCAAAAACAAACACATCAGTTTCTTACCAAATGTTGTTTTCTCTAGTAGCTTCCCTGTGTCTGAGAAGTCATCAGTGGCCTTGCCAAACAGCCCAGCAACAGTGTAAACCTTGGAGAAGGGCAAAGAGTGCAATTTATCAAAGAAATACTCCAAGCAATTGAGTAGCAATATTCTGCTGTGCAGCTGCTGGGAAGTGCAGGCTGTGGTAACGTTGCACAAAAAGACAGCAGCATCCTCTGCTCATACGGCCACATGTGGAACCTCACATGAAGGATGAATTCTGGACCCTGAAAAGCTCTCAAAAGCAGAGCCACCACCACAAGACCAGTCTGGGGCACTGGGGCAGGAATCAAGTATGAGATGGTGCTCAGATGTGCTGTGGCCCTTCAGAGCCATCACCTACCCTGGTCAGGTGGCAGTTGTACAGATCAGTCAGTAGCTTATTCCCATGGCCAAGGCCGAGTACTGAAACACAGAAGATGGGGAAGCCGTTACTCAGGAACCCGTTATTCAGTCACATGGAAAGTTAATGATGTGCCTTTACACAGCTCTGCACACTGACACTACTTTTCTTCCCCCCACGGACAGGGCTGTATCTCCTTAGAAGCCACATCTGAGCAGTGCAATTAGACACCCAAATACTGCCCATCATTATGATATGGCTGTAGTGAGGGCACTTGGATTTCCCCAGAACTTTCCACCTGGCTACTTCAGGGCAACCTGCTCAGCAATGCCAGCCACAGTGAAGCCAATTCAAGCAGTGGAGCGGAGATGGGGGGTTACATGGCAGATCACTGACGGTGTCACCAGCAGGAGCTTGGTGTCTCACTGCAAAGCCCTCTGTGCTGGGGATAAGGGGTCGCTCCTGGACCCTGGCATTGCCGGTGTCTTGTTGAATCCTTTGTTCTGTGTTTTAGCATTTATACTCCCAGCTGAGTTGTGAGACCCGAGAGCTACTGCTGGGGACAGGCTGAGCATCCACCGCTTCTTCTCCACACGGAAACCCATCACCTGACAGCCAGAGGGACGCGGTGCCACTCCGGGACGTGACCCACCGAAGACTCCTGAGGCCCTCACGTCCAACCGGTGCCCCGCTCCGATCTTCAGCTGCCTGAACCGTGGGCCTTCGACTGTAACGGAAACAGCGTCGCGGATGGTCCACAGTGCCCACCTGGGGTTCCCACCATCCCAGGGCTCCCACCACCCCAGGCCCAGGCACCGCGGCGGTCCTTACCGAGGGGATGGTCGGCGAGCACCGGCACCATCGTGGCCACCAGCCCCGTCGCCTCGTCAT